CGATGCTGCATCCACCTAGGTGAGTATTTTTTTTTGTATAAAGTCCATACTTTTTTTTCATTTTCAGGCAAAGTCATTATTTTCATATTAAATGGGCTCACAGCCCTGCAAAGGCACAGCATTTAGAGGAAAAGAGTACAGCAATCTAAAATAAAAACAAAAGTCATCAAAGCAATTTATTTGATTTTGTGCCCATGACTTTACAAGTCACTCAAATTGTGATAAGTTACAGGAAGTATCTGCGCCTGGAGTTGCCCCCTGAAAGGTGATTGTTGATTGGTACCATTAAGGGAAGTCAAAGGCCTTCACAATTTTTCCACAGGGTAGAGACAACTACTATTCAAGCTTTCAAGAATTACACAGTGAAAGACTGGAGGATATACAGTTGCAAGAAAAAGTATGTGAACCCCTTGGGATTACGTGGAGTTTTGCATGAATTGGGCATAAAATGTGCTCTGAACATCATCTAAATCACAACAATAGAAGAACACAGTCTGCTGAACATAATACTACACAAACATTAGATGTTGCCATGGTTTAATTGTACATAACATGTAAACATTCACAGTGCAGGGAGGAAAAAGTATGTGAACCTTTGGACTTAATAACTTGTTGACCCTCCTTTGGCAGCAATAACCTCAACCAAACGTTTCCTGTAGTTGCAGATCAGACCTGCACAACGATCTGGAGTCATTTTGGACCACTCCTCTTCACAAAACTGTTTCAGTGTAGCAATATTCTTCGGATGTCTGGTGTGAATCGCTCTCTTAAGGTCATGCCACAGCATTTCAATCGGGTTGAGGTCAGGACTCTGACTGGGCCACTCCAGAAGGCGTATTCTGTGCTGTTGCAGCCATTGTTTTGTTGAATTACTTGTATACTTTGGGTCATTGTCCTGTTGCATCACCCATCCTCTGCGGAGCTTCAGTTGGCGGACAGATGGTCGTACGTTTTCCTGCAAAATGTCTTGATAAACTCTGGAATTCATTTTCCCATCAATGTCAACAATCCGTCCAGGCCGTGAGGCAGCAAAGCAGCCCCAAACCATGATGCTCCCTCCGCCATGTTTTACAGTGGGGATGAGGTTTTGATGTTGGTGTGCTGTGCCTTTTTTTCTCCACACATAGTGTTTTGTGTTCTTCCCAAACAACTCAATCTTGGTTTCATCTGTCCACAGTATATTTTGCCAGTAGTGCTGTGGAACATCCAGGTGCTCTTTTGCAAACTTCAAACGTGCTGCAATATTCTTTTTGGACAGCAATGGCTTCCTCCGTGGTGTCCTCCCATGTACTCCATTCTTGTTTAATGTTTTCCTTAATGTAGATGTGTCAACAAAAATGTTAGCATGTGCCAGAGATTTCTGTAGGTCTTTAGCTGACACTCTGGGATTCTTCTTTACCTCCTGCAGCATTCTGCGCTGTGCTCTTGCAGTCATTTTTACAGGACGACCACGCCTAGGGAGAGTAGCAACAGTGCTAAACTTTCTCCATTTGTAGACAGTCTGTCTTACCGTGGACACATGAACATCAAGGATTTTGGAGATACTTTTGTAACCCTTTCCAGCTTCATGCAAGTCAACAATTCTTGATCGTAGGTCTTCTGAGAGCTCTTTTCTGCGAGGCATGGTTCACATCAGACAGTGCTTCTTGAAACCAGTAAACCCAAAACAGGTGTGTGTTTTTTAAGGGCAGGACAGCTGTCAGCAACACATCCAATATCATCACACTGATTAGAGTCAAGGTTGGCTCACTCCTGGCTCCAATTAGCTCTTGGAGAAGTCATTAAGCTAGGGCTTCACATACTTTTTCCTCCCTGCACTGTGAATGTTTACATGTTATGTGCAATTAAGCCATGGCAACATCTAATGTTTGTGTAGTATTATGTTCAGCAGACTGTGTTCTTCTATTGTTGTGACTTAGATGACGTTCAGAGCACATTTTATGCCCAATTCATGCAAAACTCCACGTAATCCCAAGGGGTTCACATACTTTTTCTTGCAACTGTAAGTATAACTCTGCTACAATACATGTACAAAGCGTAATTTTTTTTTTTCTGTACATGGATATATACAGAAATCTATTGCAGCTTCACTGGAATGTCTGCTGTGCATCAGTTGGTCTGGAGGCAATGTGCTGCAAGTGGTCTGAGAAGCATACAGCAATTACAGTACATGTGTTAAAGTGAGCCTGTTCAAATCATGCACACTAAAGTATTTACATATTTTGAGCAAGCAGTGAAAGCACTGTAAAAAAAAAAAAAATCCTCATTCATCTCTGTATTTATAAGCATTATGAATAATTTAATTTTCAAATATAACATTTCAACAACACCACAGTGTTTTGTAGAGCACATTGGAAGCAACTAGAGAGGTTGGGGATTGCTTGTTTTAAAGCTTTTTTTATGTTTTTTAAGAATACGTAAATAGTTGTTTGTTCATATGTAGGTGGACATATGTATGTTCATATGTAGTTGGTGTAAGTTACAGGAAGCATCTGCACCTGGAGTTGCCCCCTTGGAAGGTGATTGTTGATTGGTACCATTAAAGGAAGTCAAAGGCCTTCACAATTTTTCCACAGGGTGGAGATAACTACTATTCAAGCTTTCAAGAAATACACAGTGAAAGACTGGAGGATATAACTATAACTCTGCTACAGTACATGTACAAAGCGTAATCTTTTTTTTTTGTACATGGATATATACAGAAATCTATTGCAGCTTCACTGAAATGTCTGCTGTGCATCAGTTGGTCTGGATGCAATGTGCTGCAAGTGGTCTAAGAAGCATACAGCAATTACAGTACATGTGTTAAAGTGAGCCTGTTCAAATCATGCACACTAAAGTATTTACATATTCTGAGCAAGCGGTGAAAGCACTGAAAAAAAAAGCCCTCATTCATCTCTGTATTTATAAGCATTATAAATAATTTAATTTTCAAATTTAACATTTCAACAACACAACTGTGTTTTGTAGAGCACATTGGAAGCAACTAGAAAGGTTGGGGATTGCTTGTTTTAAAGCTCTTTTTATGTTTTTTAAGAATACATAAATAGTTGTTTGTTCATATGTAGGTGGACTATGAGATGTGGACTGGAAGATAAAACATTTGCATGTAAAAAATATACCCATAGGTATAGTTTTGTTTAAACTATTATGTGTGTGTGTGTTTTGGGATTGGAACAGGGTGTGTAAGGTGCAGAACAAGTGATCAGTACAAAGTTTTTATATAACTGCTTATAGACAGCAAATAGGAGAAGAAAAATTAAAACAGGGACATGGCTTGGCTCACAATAGAACATGCAATGTACACCTTGTCATAGCCGGCATCATAGATCCCTTTGAAGCTTTAAATGGTGTCTTTTTTGCCAACATAGGAAAGGTTTGTGGACCCCCCAGCATTACAAAGATCACTAAAAACCCAACTGTTGCAACTGGGCTAGAATGTACAGTACCTGAAATTTTCAAGATGCAGAGTCATGAACCACTAGACACCAGAACCAATACAGAATCCATTCTTAAGTTTCACCTACACTTATGCCCAAGGAAAACCAGAAAAATTATTGTGACTAGCCTGGTGCAGAAACCTCATCCTGTTGGCGACTACTGCCTTTAAAGGTTGCTCCTCTGAGACAGAAAATAACTGGCCACTGTGCCCTTGTATTACTCTGTGCCTAGACGTAGGTCTGCCTATTCTGTATCTCCCTGCTTCTGAGCAATAATGTCACTGAGGGGCAATAGCCCAAATGCTAGCTGAATCCAAGAATTTATACAAATTTTTCCATTTGCACTATCCATATACTGTAGCTATATGGTATGTTTTCATGCTATAAGCCTTTACTACTAGCATAGGTTTATGCTTGTCCTGATTGGGATTATTATACACTGCTACTGACTAAAATCACTTTGGGGACATTGTGCCCTCTGGGATCATGGTATCCCAGGGATAAATATACAGGGATATGCACAGATCCATGTGCTGGTGAATGAGTTCCTATTTTGTTGTTCCCTGTTCTGTTGCTGTTTGCTACTATTCTAACTAGGGGACACTACTATAAATGCTGCCATTTGAGAGGTGGGGTGCTCAGACATCCCATATAGCCCACAAGGATTAATGTAAAGGCAATCCACTAGCTTGCACAAGTATAACCTGGGCTTGCCTGCCTCCCTCCCCTCCTTAGACACTACTACACAGATTATGATAATTCTCCACTTTTCTGGTCTACAGTCAGCTGGGAATCTAGTTGGTTAGTTTATTGTTGTAAGGCAAATGTATGGATTCATATTAATAAGGGTTGTAGCTTTACCTATCATCTAAAACAGTGTAACACCTGAGGGAGAAAATTGCCCACAAATCATCCACTCCCAACAACTTTTACCCCAAACCTAGTTCAGATCAAAACCTTTTATGTTCATTTGTTAGCGGACTAGAGAATCCCTGGCTCAGTGGTGCAACCTCACAGAGCAACATTGTCTTCTCTCCTGTTCTCCTCTGATAGAATTGGAATGGAATTTGAAACATAATTCCTCTCTCCTTGCAGACTTCATAATATGTTCAAAATAACCAGCTCATTAAACATTTTGATGAATGCCACATCACATTAAAATGGGTTAAAGTGAGAAAATGTCCAGGCCCTGATGGATCCTCCTCACAATACTATAGATTCTTTTGGAAAAATCCAGCCCCGTGTTTTGTCAAAGCTTATAACAGTTTAAGCAAAATTAACCATTCCCCCTTCACAATCCTGGGGATCACAAATCAACTATTCTGGAAAAGGAGCCCCAGATTTACTCTAACTGCGCTACTCTAACTCCCTCCCTTTTAAATGTGGGTTTACAACTGTCCATGAAAATTCTGTCAAATCACCTTCTTGCATGGCTGACCACTTAGATTACCCATGATCAGGTACGCTAGCAGGATACCCTAAACCTTATGCTACGGTCAAGGTCAACCACATCCTGTCAAATAAGTTCTACATTTCCAACCAGGGGCAGACTGAAGACTCATGGGGCCCCTGGGCAATAGGGGATCATGGGGCCCCTGTGTCCTTGCCCAAACTCAAAAAAGCCTATGAAAAAGGTACCAGGGGCATCTCATGGGGTCCCCTACTGACCCCGAGCCCTTGGGCAGTGCCCGAGTTTCCAAATGGTCAGTCCACCTGTTACCAACAGTACTAGGAAGGGATGTCCCTTAACCTTATCCCTTCCTGATCAGACAATACCAAGGGATTCAGGGCTTGACAATACCTCATACAACATATGAAGTAGCACATACAACATGCTCTGCTTTATAAGGGGACAGTCCACATCTTTTCCCCAGCTTTTACAAGCTTTTAACTTAAAAATCAAAGTATTCTGCTCTAAACCTGAAAATTCTGTATACTACATTAAACTCCCTGAAATATAAATTCAATTTCAAATGGTCTACATCACATATCAAATACCTTGGGATCATCCTCCCCCAGATCTCAATGACCTAAACAGAGTTAAAGTGTCAACAGAGGCAAAGATTTGTTTTTCTTTGGATAGAGTGGAAAAAGATTAGAACATATGTAAGGTCTCATTGCTGTCTATGTCCCTGATAGGCAGATTCACCCTCTGTATTTGTCCTGTTTACCAATATCTCTATGAGTGAAAGTAAAAGAAAATCCCAAATTTTGGGTTGACATCAGAATAGTAATAAAGGGGGAATCTTCCAATGAGGACACTAGTTCTGGTGACCCTGGTGACATCCTGGGATTCCCTCACTTTGGAGAGATTTTCTGTTTTGGCTATGGGACAAACGTTTTTTCCTTTAAAGACACTAGTGTACTTGCTACAGACAATCCCCATTGTGTTACCATCAGAGTTCAGTAAAAGTCTAGACAAGGATTTATTTCACTTTAAATGGGATGGTAAACAATCCAGAATATGCAAACACATATAGATGGTTGCCAAGGGAAGGAGTAGTCTCGGGCTTCATAATATTACCAGTTATTAAAAGGCATATCACTTAATGAGACCGATAGATTGGAATGTTCACAAGCACTCCAAGGTATGGATCAAAATGGAGCTCTTGGTTTCTAGGTTTCAGGCATGGGGTGTTTTTTAAAGCAAAAAAAAAAAATGAGCGTGAACCAGGAGAAGGTAGATCCATCATTAGATTTGCTTATTTTCATGGATATCTCTTATCAGTGAAAACAAAAACCAACAGGTCTACCTTCATACATACTACTTCAGGCAAGCACTGTAGCTTTAAGAGGTAAACTAATTTAAGGGAGTACTCTCTCAAAACATGCTCACTGATGGTGAAGAGCATGAAGGATTTTATCAGATATAACTCTAAAGCCCACCAGTCAGGGGATTCCACTCCATATCCTACACTGATGTTCTGTGGTGGTATCTTTGAAGGAGAGCAATATAATTTTAAGGAGGGGAAAATGTCACTTTATGTAATAAATGGGTAAAAATAAAATCAGAATCAGTTTTATTAGTTAAAAAAATGGCCCTTCTGCTTCATGTAAGGAGGAGTCCACTCTGGTGTCCTATGCTGGTTCTTTTCAAGTGGGAAGGTGACTTTTCTGTTTTGTTTTTGATAAACATTAAAGAAAATGGTGAAATGGCTGATTTGAACCCTTGTAAAATCTACTAAGAAAGCAAATAAGTTAAACTAGTGGCATCACTTCTTTTGTCATTTCCAGTAATGGCTGAGTATATTGGTGTTCTCACACTCAGATCTGGGGAAATCAAAACATTGTCTAGGCTACTCTGCATTTTATGCCCAGTAAGAGTGGAGGTGCCTGGAGGTAACAGGTATACAGGAAACTTACCTAACACATTTTAAAACTGATACAATCAGCCCCTGATAAATCAGGTAGGAACTTTTAAGAAATAATTTTCTCTAAAACATTGGATTGCTATTTAAGATTTAGTTAGTTCCAATAGTTTGTAGGTTAAAGTGTATAGTGTGTACAGCCACTTTTTTTTATCAGTGACAATGGTCACCAGGGGAAATAGAGGAGTAAATCTCTCCAAATGGGACACATACATCAATGTAAATTTTAAGGAGGATCCCACCTTTCTCCACTTCATTCATAACAAATAAAATTGCCTTTCCATTCACTTTAAGGTTATGTATTAAGGTTAAGATTTTGGTTAAGGTGGTATTTTAGAGTTAAGTGATATGATTAATTTAGATGGTCAAGGTTTGATTTTCATTTTAAATGTTAGGGTAAGGGTTAATTGTTAGGATTAGACTAGGAAGTAAGTTTAAGCCAGTGAGGCAGCCCACCATAGTGATGGGAAACATTAACCAGAAATCACAGAGCATTGTCTGTCAAAATGGCTCAAGATCAGGCCATAAATGCAGGATATTATAGTCAGTTGCAGATATTTTCAGGCACTAATAGATGCCTACAATTTATACCTACAGCACCTACATTGTATTAAAAATAGAGATATTGCTGGACACATTAATTCTCAGTTGTTTTTCTCCTGCAAATTACCATTGTCAATAAGCATGCTTATGTACATGTTTGCACACAAAAAATATGTGCACACTTTAAATATGTGTTCTATTTCAGCTTTCCTGTATTGAAGTACAGATAGCACTCAAAATACAACGTTTACTAGAATAATGCTGGATAGAGTAATAAATCCTTCAAGTCTCTTGAACTAAGAATAGTTGGCAAAATATTCTTTGCTTGTTTTTTTCACGAAGGCATAAAGATCTCCAGAGGCCTTTAACTGCAGACAATAACGTATGTTACTGTCGTCTAGATCTCACTCTTGATTGGCCAGATGCCTCTCAGCATGGTATAATGTAGATTTACAACCTCAGTGTGCTACATTCCAGCAGACTGTGCTGTCTTAAGCATTTTAGATTAATATTTCCCCACGCACTAAGAGTTAGGTTAACTATTGGCAACACATAACAGCTTTAAGCTTACAGTAACATTTTCTATCCAAAATGTCTAAATGGCCAGTTTCAAAGCTAAATTGGTCTCCAGGGAGAGGGATGACACTGGGCCTATTTATCAAGCCACCCATCACTTTAGGAGCTCTTGGGTATTTGCCAGCTTCTGCACATTCATTCTTAACATCAGACACAATAAGGCATCCATTGTGGCCAAATGCATATCCGTTTTTTAATGTTCTCAAAGTTTAATTTGCTTTCTCCATTTTGAATATTAGAGTTATGCTACATTGTTATTACTGTCAATATTTACATACTGCTCCCATTGTCATTTTTTGCTAGTTAGGCACATTAGAGTCAGTCTATCCAGTCACTAAAGCTGAACTCTAGGCAGACAAGTATACAAACTGTTTAACACAGTTTTGTTTTCTTAAAAAAAAAAAAAATATATATATATATATATATATATAAATATATATATATATATAGAGAGAGAGAGAGAGAGAGAGAGAGAGAGTTAATGTATTTTTTCAAATATTTAGCATAAATGCCTACTTATTTTTGATATTGATCTCTCATTATTCCCTACACATCAGAACTGGGAGAGGGATTAGTAGTGAAACTTCTTCACTTCACATCTGCTGACAAGGAATATGCTGTGATAGAAGAATGCAAAGTGAGTTGATAACCTAGCAGTGTGTCACTGCTTCTTCTATGTCCAGTCAGCAGTCTGGGGGAGCAATGTGACACAAATGCATTCTTTACCTATAACAGATGTAGCTCTATCCGCAAAGGAGCTGCTTGGTTATTTGGGTTCTCTGTTCTGTGCCTCGACCCCAAGAACAACCTTAGCTTCCCTGGCACACCTGGTTGAATGAAATTTACTGCAAGCTCTTATAATAACATGTGTATAGATACCTTTAACTCAAGACCATTTAGTAGTAAATTAACTTAATGTATTGGTATAGGTCAGAGTAAATTGTGGTTTGAGCATAAATGAGCAAACAGAAAGTAGGTTCAGATACAGTCTGCTAGGCAGTATAATCACTACGCCAAAGTAACTTAGAATAGAGTTTTGTACCACTTGACTTGAATCAACTGATAAATCAGCAAAGTCAGCAATAAACAGTGCATATAAGCATTAACTGTAATGTGAATAATAATACTATATAACTAGTCTAGAATGCACTCTAGGAGAAAGGTTAAAATATGATGCAATGTCCCCTAAGAGGTACCTCTTACCATAAGCAATAGATAAAAGTCTCTGTGTAGCAGCTGTAAAGAGGCAGTCCTTAGCTCTAACTCTTCAGCTGACTAATGTTGGGGCCCAGTTGTACTGCTGGTGTACATGAGAATAGTCCCAGTCAAACCTGCAGGCAGCAATAAGACTGCTAGATGGCTGTATGGTCAGTTCCTAAAGGGCTCAGTCTCTCTAGCAGCAGATAGTAAAGCCCCACAGAAGCAGCTCACCAGTCCCAGCAATATTGCAGCTCACCATTCGGTCACACACAACAATACGTCTTCTTTCTGCTCTCCATCCTGGTGACTCTGTCTGTCAGCACCCCTGAACTCAGCAGTCCGGATCCCACTCTTGGGGTTCAAAAGCTCTTTATTACAGTAGAGTTTATTTCCTTTGGACTACAGTTCTCACAGTGCAGTGCTGACAAACTCAGTCTATTAAACGTTTCCTGCTTAGCTGCTTTCTCCTCTCACTAATAGCTCTGTTAACCAGTTCAGCACCAAAGGGCAGCAGCTAAAGAGAGCATCTGCAGCCAATGTTTATTTCACTCTCTATACACAGCGAAAACGGTTTCACTCTCCTAGCTAATATTTCTGGCAGGCATGCCTGAATCATAACTAAAAGTAAATGGCCAAAAAATGCCACATCCCTATTTAATTTGAATTAACAATACATTTGACATGGTGGGATTTTTAAGGCACAACGCAGTTATTCTGTTAAAACATACAGTTTATTTATGCACAAACATAAAATAATTTTTTGCATCAGATTTGGTGTCTAAAAACACACAGGTGTTGAAACTTGCATTTCCAATACATTACAGATTATATATTCAAACTCTCAGAAAGCTCAATGCGTTTCTTGGATTTTATCCACTTCACCAGGAGCTGGAGATGAAAATCAGTAGATATAAAAACATATATATTGTTACCACTTATTATTATATTCCTCCCAATGTACATATATGGCATTTTAGTTTCCGTTTACCTGAATATATTTGGAAAAGGGGAAGAAAAGATAATTGTTGGAGGCTTCAGGCAAGGAGGTACGTATAGATGTGAAGGTCCCACTAAGATCATTAGGACAGTAGACACTGCAGCCACATATTGGTAGATTATCCCGCATTTAGGTTAGAGTGAGGAGGCTGTATGTTGTTAGAATTATCTATAATTTATAATAAAATTCATATTTTTTTATTGTTTATTTATCATTATTCCTTTTGGCATATTCCCAAGTATATATATATATATATATATATATATATATTATGCGCATACATGCACACCCCTACACACAAGATCAACCCTTAAGACGTATAACCCAATGTACATGTGTGTACATATACTCACATATACACGCATACATGTACTTTTTGCTAAACACCAATCAAATTTAGTTTACATAATATGCTTATTTACATTTCTCTGAATTATTTCAAAACCCTCTCCTGAAGGAAAATTAATCAACATCCTGATAAACAGCCAAATATCAACCTGCTTAATCTTCTATATGGGGAGACTAAAAGGGCTGCATTCAAAACAAAAATCAGAGCAAAGCTCAATCGGATTTACCTACGATGCATGCCTCATGATTATTGCATCTAGGACCAAACAGAGGGGTACCTCTGGGCACTTCCAAGGTTAGTCATCTTTTAAAATAATCGGGCTAACTATCCCTAGTTATACCTCCCATATATAAGACCACTGGGATGGTGCACATGTGGATGCCAGAACAGCATCCTGGAAGCTCCAAGATGGTTGTCAAACTATCGCCATCTAGTGTGCAAGGGCGCGCCCTCTGTGGTCACATGGGAGGCATTACTAGGGCTAGTCAATTATTTGAAAGGACGACTATGTGTGGAAGTGTCCGGAGGTACCCCTCTGTTGAGCCCTAGATGCACTAATCATGAGGCATGCATGGTAGGTAAATTGAGCTTTGCTCTGATTTTTGTTTTGAATGAAGCCCTTTTAGTCTCCCCATATAGAAGATTAAGCAGTTTAATATATTATTATACAGGACAGGGGTGGACTGACAACTCATGGGGCCCCCAGGCAATAGGGGATCATGGGGCCCCTGTGTCCTTGCCAAAAACTCAAAAAAAACCTATGAAAAGGTACCAGGGGCATCTCATGGGGCCCCCTACTGACCCCGGGCCCTCAGGCAGTGCCAGAGTTTCCAAATGGTCAGTCCGCCCCTGATACAGGATTTATATAGTGCCAACAGTTTGCTCAGCGCTTTACTATATAACCGGAGACAATACAGCCACAATACAGTTAAACCCAACAAGAGGGTTAGGAGCGCCCTCCTCTTTGGAGCTTACAATCTATGTTTTTATATATAGTGATATTCATCTCCAGCTACTGATGAAGTGTATAAAATCCAAGAAATGCGTTGAGCTTTTTAAGAGTTTGAATATATAATCTGTAATGTATTTTAAATGCAAGTTTCAACACATGTGTGGTTTTATACACCAAATCTGATGCAAAAATTATTTTATGTGTGTTCATAAATAAACTGTATGTTTTAACAGAATAATGGTGTTGTGACTTAAAAATCCCACCATGTCAAATGTAATGCCTGAATCAGAAATGGGCCAGAGGACTGGAGACGTTTTTCACCATAATTATAAAGGGGGCTTCCACATTTGCATAAGAATTATAGACCTATAGGCCATTTTTTCCATAGGCCATTTTCTTATAGGCCATTTTTCCCCAACATTCATACCCCCAAAGCTGAAAGGCATGTAGCCCAGTATGGTACAGGATGGGAAGGGGCAAAGACTTTCTGCCCTTGTTTTCTGGGTCACTCAGGCTGCATGCCTGGATATAAAGCTTTGATTAGATTCTTAGGGGTGCCCTAAACAGTTTTTTCCCTTTTTGTCCTTTGTACTGTCACTTAACCATTTCACTGCCAGGCCTTGCTATTTACGTTTGACCTTAAGTGGCCAGACCATTTATTGCATTTTCATTTTAATATTTTTCACTTACAGCTTTCAGAGTTTGTAAAATCCCCCCAAACCATAAATTTTATGGAAGCACAGAACTGGTAAAAAAAATGGTGCTATTGATTTTTAAACACAACATAACTTACAAAATACAAAATGAAGAATATAAGTTAATAAATAATAAATATTTGAAAATATTACATTTAACATTTTTAGAAAATGGTGAAAATCAAAGGTATGCAAACCTGTAAATAAGCAACTTACACTAAAAATCTGGAGATTGACTTCACGCCTAAGCCTTGTTGTAACATCCAGGCTGCAGTGGCATGTGTGTGATGCGTTTTAGGTTCACTGTGATAAAATGATCCAGCCATAAATGTTATTGCAACATAGCATACAGTGTTAAATAAACATTTTAAATAAAAAAAAAAAAAACAAATCAAACACTGTTATGCATTGTAACAGTGCACTACAGCTAATATGCATAATTCATGCCAACATGTGTGCATTATGTGCACCATAATCACAGAAATTGCGGCAAAAAGGTGCATGTATGCTTCTATTCTTTTCTTTTTTTTTATTCTTTATTTAGGAACAGTACCAGATTGTACAGGCATTTGTTGCAAACAGAATAACAAGTATATAAACATAAAGTATTGTATGACATCAATGAAACATTGTCATAAAATAAGAAGACTTCCTCAGCTATACATAGCTAAGGAGGCTTAGGATAATAAAAATGGCATTATTAGGTAGCTCTGTGCAACACGCTTCCCTTTGCATGCATATTATGTTTGTTTTGCAAGGAAAGGACTAGATCCTTTATGTGGTTTTTGTCTTCAACTTTATGTAACCCTATGGGGATAGAGGGGGCTTGGAATTCTGCCTTTTTAGAAGAATGCAAGATCTGGCTGCATTCAGGAAATGAAGAAGCAAGTATCTCTTGTATATCTTACCAAAGATCAAATGATGTAAGAGAAAAAAGGATGGACAATCTGGCAAAGGGAGATCTGTGAATTTTTTGGGAGATTCACACTCTGTCCAGAAGGTCCTCATCAGGATATAGGACATGTGGAAAATTGAAACCTCCAGCATATGTCTGGGGAATCTGGAAATTGTTTATGAAGTACATTTGGTTTCCTAAGCCACCTGAAGAGTAGTTTGTTTGTTTCCCGAATTCAAGTACATATGAAGGTTTTTAGGGTAAAATAAAGGAGTCTACTTTTTGGTTGAGAGGGAAAAGTTAGTTTTAAGTCTCATTCCCATTTAGCCAGGAAGGGAGGGAAGTTGTCTTCCAGAGGCCAGGAGATGAAAGAGTACATAATAGAAAGAGACTGTCTGAATGGACCCTATCCATACATACAGTAGGCAGTGAGTGGTCGCATAAGGTCTCCAGGGATAGGTAAATAAAAAATGGCATAGTTGCAAGGCCTTCCATGCATCTAGGTGAAATGAGCCATCAACCCTCATGAGGACATTGAGGGAGCACCATTCTGCATGTGTTGTAAAGTGAGAGGCTTTGAAGATATTTTTATCCATGAAATAACAAAAGAGATCTGGGCCTATGCCATCAAGAAAGGCAGGATTACCCAGGACTGGGGAGAGAGGAGATGGAAGGGGAGAGAGTTTATATTTTCACTTGGTGATTGCGCAACATCGAGAGTAGGCCCAATTTATATCTGTGTCAGTCTATAAGTCTTGTTAAGTGGGCAGCAGCATGGTACATTAGGATATCGGAGAAGGTCAAACCACCACAATCCTTGGGGAGAGAAACTAGAAATAGAGATTGGTAGAGATGGAAGCAAATGTAGAAACTATGGGAGAATTGCCATTTTAAGAATGTTACAATGGCAAAATCACAAAAAAAGGCCTGTGCCCCATTTCTGTTGAAGTTGTCCAGTTTTGTGAAAAAGTTGGGGAAGTTCTGAGTGAAAGTGTCCTTGGTACATTTCTTTTAAAATGCAGCACACTATGAACTATGCTTAGGGGAAAGGAGGAGGTGGGCAAGCATTGGGACTAATTTACAGTAATCCTGTAGTTGTGCTTTAGCAAAATATTTAATCACAAAATGTAAACTGCATCAACATTCATGTATGCCTAGGGTAATATAATGTCTAAACACAGTCCTGCTTAAGAATTGTACAGAATGTTAAAATTAATACAGAATTTAAAGCCAAAAATAATTAAATCTGAATTCCAGGCACAAAAACTCTAATTTAAATATATTCCTTGACACAATTATTTTTGTGTGTTCGCCAAATGCCTTTGCAAATATAGTTTTTACCTTATAAAAGGTATTTTGAAATTACTGTAGAGCACTAGAGGAGGGGCAGAAACAAGACAGGTCACCCTACCCAAGGAGAGAGAGTGCAGCAGTGACCAGTCTTTATTACAGAAAGCTCTTGCACAAAGGCAAAGATTCATGATCGATAACTGAACAGATCTGGAAGATATAAACAAAAACCCCACAAAAATTCAAGAACACACATGACTCTTGTATTTGGACAATATATGCTTATCCTGGAGGTCATCTTTAACTTTTCTACTAATTATAATGTGATTTAGCTTAACATTTAAAAACTACTGCAACTGAAAATAAAATATTCTCAATCTTGTGTCAATGTAAGTTCATTTACTTTTAAGCTTTCCCAACACATTGGTTAGTTGCCTTCTTCAACAGATGTGATTTTCATGATTTACTTGGATCTGAAGTCATTCGATACTAATGAAATATAGCATTGATTTTGCTCTTATAAATCAAAGGGTCAAAAACTTTGTGGTAGAAATCGCGCTTCTCAAATTTCATTTAATTTACCAATCACTTGGGCATCATGTAAAGTGCTTTTGTCAGAATGAGGTAATTCTTTTATCCTAGATGTACACAATTACACAGCAATTAAGTGAAGTACAATGTCTTTCTCTACATCTAAAAGCAAGATATTAATTTTAAAAGGATTGGCGTCAATCTTTTTATGTATAGATTTTTTTATTTTCTTTAATAATAATTTGTGGTTTTGAAATGTATGTTTCTTTTTATTACAAATATGTCTTTAAAAGGGTTTCATATTTTAATTTGATTTTCCTTTACTGTGTGAAACACTATTTCACTCTGTTACTATTTATTAAAAAGGTCCCTACAATATTTGATGTATTTAAATGGTGAGTTCAAGAATGATATAAAACCTTCCAGCCTACCCCCTGGCCCCTTAAAATTCTCAGAGCTAAACCTTTTTTTCTGTGATGCTTGCTTGTACCTCCTTCAATGGTGGCAGCCCTCTGCACTGTCTACATCCCAGTCAGTAAAATCTACTGCTAGCCTTCCTGCACGTGTACAAAACATCCCATAAACTTGAATGGGACATACAAGAACACCCTGTTCTAGTCTTTTGGATGTCAGTCTGCAGGAATAGGCAACCAAGCAATTGATGTTTACCAACCGTACTGCATACATCACAGGGGCCACTGCTGCAGTGAAGGTAAGTAAGCACTTGGGGACGTTACAATTTAGTGTAAGGTAGCTTGGGGAACTTGGAGGGTTATACTGTATAATTAAAGTGATATTAAAGGCATTTAAAAAAAAAAACTGTTATACTTACCTGCTCTATGCAATAGTTTTGCCCAGGGCAGCCCCCATCCCTCCTGCCGAATACCCCCAGATCAAGGAGCTTGCTATGACGGCACTCAAGCGGGCTCACTCCTGAGCTACTGTTCTGAGTGTCCAATCAAATACAGAACCGTGGCTTGGTACCACCCCCTCTCTCTCCTCTTTGACTCACTGGCTGTGATTAACAGTAGAGGGAGCCAATTGCTCCTGCTGCTGTCTCAGCCAATGCTGAGGCTGGATCGCGATGGGGCTCAGGTAAGTATTAGGGGGGCTTAGGGGGCTGCTGCACACAGAAGGTTTTATACCTTGATGCATAGAGTGCCTGAAGGTAAAACAACCTTGAGCCATTACAATCTTTTAAAATGAGTGTGTTACTAAAAGTGTTCTTTACATTTGTTCCCTAAAGATGGTATACACTTGATTGAGTTGCATAACACACTAAAGCACACACAAAAAGGTGTATACTGCATTTTTGGCACAGGTTAGTGTGTTGCTGTATGTTGTGCAGCACTCCAGTGTGCATCTGTTGGCAAGGTGTATGAGGGTGCCATTCAGAATTAATGGCATTATATTTCACTAATCATGTTGCCACAATGTGATGATAAAAACAAGCCCTCAGAAATCGCCAGCACTGCAAAAAAATTTTACATGTAATTGGTCATTGGTAGAGTCACTAAGGAGCTTTTACATTTAACAAATATACATGGGAAAATGACTTGGTTTTATGTGCTGGTACCAATTTTAACTTCATATAAACAAATTCACTCTTTCTTTTCAAATAATAATATGAAATATGGAAATAATTTTACTTTTGTACTGTAAAAGATTTATAATTCCTTCAAGGTCAGCAGTCCTTAGCGAATGAGAAATTATTGGTAAAAAAATGGT